GGGGGGGCTCTTAAAGGTAGAGTGTGGGGGGGGGGTAGCATTGGCTTGAAATATACGCATTTGAACTTGCTGCAAGGGTATATAATAATGATTTTTAAGTTCCTCGGTCAATGTTGAATACAGGGGTGCTTGTTTAGCGCCTCAAACATACATACATTATCATTACTTGGCCTTATATCTCTCCATCTTATTATCTATCTATCTATTCCTAGATGCATCGGTATTCTTTACATACAATTATTTATTTAACATTTATCTATTTTTCTTCTCAAAATGAACATTTTACATATTAGCATAAATAAAGTGAACAATATCAAAAACGAATGAACCAAAAAAATTGTTTGATTTTTTAAAACTGAAAAATTTTACATTACGACCCCTTTAAAATTTAACTATTCGTGGATTTCCCGCGAAAAATTATTTACTTCTCAGTAATGAGTCAATATTTTCCATTATGTTTAAACGTATAGGTTTCCAGGAATTCAAAGGTTAATTATTTTTTTTCTCTCTAAAACCTCAAAGTTTTTTATTACAAGACACTAATTTGTTATTACATTTTTAGGTATGTAGTTTTTTCTTAAGAGCCCTACCGAAGATTAGAAAGGAATTATCTCTATACAAGAGACTGGTAAAGGGACTGTATGCGTAGTTTCAAGTGACCCTCCCATATTCAGTTCCAGATCCACACGACTCTATTTAAGGCTTTTTTTGCAATAAAGAATAAATGAGATATCCATGATCTCTGTTTAAAAAATTCGTTGTTTCTAATTGGAGGAAATTTTGATAATCATACACTTTTCACGACTATATCTTCCACACTATCTATATAATAAAACAAGACATTCATATATATGTTGCGTATAGCCGGCCAAACGGCTGGACCGATTGGGCTGAATTTTTTGTGGACACTTATGGGTGGCCGGAGGGTGTTATAGGCAAAAAAATCAAATTTTTTTCTTCCTTTTTTTCCTTTTTTTCAAAAAAAAAATTTCCACGGGCAACGCCAGGCCCTCCAGCTAGAAAATTCGACTATAGCCCTTTTAAGGTACTACCCTCTTTGTCCCTCTAACTATTTCCCCCCCTTTCCTTCCCTAGCCCCCTGATTTCTAATAATCTATATTGATCCCTGTATTAGTTTTGTAACAATCCATCTTAACTAATCCCTACTACCTCATTCAATATTTTCCAACTGAATAAATAATACAAACTTTACATTCATTTCCCCTGTTTTATCTAGAGGTAATAATTAAGGGTTCTCATTCTTTTATGTAAAAATAATTCTTTTAAAAAAAGTAATTGAGTCTTGGCCACAAACTCTATTTTTAATCCCTACATCTTTGCAGCCCAATGCCGCAGACCTAAGTTATTTAAAATTATGAATAATGTTGGATCAAATAAACCAAGTTTAAAATATGAAAGGGTTATGCCATTAGGTTGCTAAGATGCAGGGATTTTAAAATTTAATTTTGTGGCAAAGACTCAATTTCTTTTATATGATAAATATGGATGCAAAGCTCTTGAATAGCTCTTATCTAATAATCATTATGTGTACATCTACAACTACTACTACTGCTTCTGCTGTATAATTTATCCAATTATTCAATCAAGCGGCAGCATGATGAATATATATCATCAAGGACGAACAACATTCATCTTAAAAATTATTTTTAATCAAATTTTCATGCTAAAACTACCCCCCTCCCCACTCTTCTCTTCAAATAGTTTCTTTACTCCAAAATGAATTAATTTTCCGATGTAAAAAAGTGCAATCCAGTAAGTGTTAATCAAACTGTGATTAAAAACATTGACACATTAAGTATTGACCTGGCTTTAAATGAAACTAAAGAACACAACATTTGTTTTCTTATATTCTGTCTGTGTAAATACAGTTTGTTAAGAAGTCATTAGGGGGCATTAAAGTTCCCTTTTGTTGATAATTACACAAAAATTTGTTCCCGCATTTACCCTCAGTTTAACCCGCGTAATAGCTTATTGTGTACACTAACCAGCGCCATTTTGATAAATGCGCGAGGGTCGACCATAATGAGCCGCGGTATTGTGCCCAAAAGTCAAATCTCCGGAAGAGAGTGAGTGATACGGCATTTTATTCTTCAATCTTTTCACGGTATTTTTGCTAAATAATTTGCAGGGTTGCATAACCCGTAATTATCAAAATAAAACGTGTTTAATCTCCGAGGCATTTTTTACAAGTTTTTTTCTCAAAGAAATATATTTTACTCCCGACACACTGACCCAAAATATTTAGCGCTCTAGGGAAAGATAAATATAAGATTAACATTGCATTTTTAGTTTTCAGTCGGCTGCCCTACCCAACTCCTATGATAATTAAAGATGGTTTGAAGGTTTATTGTTGACCATAAACGTATGCATGTATAATTAACATGAACTTTGTCCTAATTAGTATTGTATCCGCTGAGAATGCAGAGATCCCCAAAATACAATGGAAACTTGAAAGTTAGAATCTAAACTATCTTCATACTCCAATTTGTCTCTATCAATGTTTCTCTTCTTTGACAAATTTTCCCAATGAATTGAAATTAATTACGCTAGAATTAAAGATGAACGTCCTCGGGCTATAGTTGTATATTATATTATTATTATAAAGATTTATTCACACACAAAGATATAAATACATATATAAATGGTGTAGTTAAAATTTGTTTAAATAAATTTTTTTGAAAATACATAGAACATTACATAGATAAGACATTACATGGATAAGACAATACACGGATAAGACATTACACGGATAAGACATTACATGGATAAGATAATACATGGATAAGACATAAAATGGATAAGACATTACATGTTTATGTTTATGTTAGGATTATTTTCAGGACTCCTGGCGGAGTATATAAGAAAATTTCCGATTGTTGTCATGATATTCATATGGTTGCATATATCACATTAATATACAGAGTATATTATATTCAATAATTTCGAATATCCAGTGAATCAAGATTAAAAATAAGGGACATTAATTTTTTTCTTTTGGTATAGTTTTTATTTTTTCTCTTCCTTGACATTTTTCTTTTTTTTAAATTTTTTGACGGTTTTTTTAAATTTTTTCATAGATTATTTTTTTT